CCATGCCCAGCTGATTTTTTGTATTTTTAGTAGAGACGGGGTTTCACCATGTTGACCAGGATGATCTCAATCTCTTGACCTCGTGATCCACCCGCCTCAGCCTCCCAAAGTGCTAGAAATTCTACTTTTAACGGTATTTTGATGTGTACTTAATCTAATACATTAGGTGTCAATTTTGAGTTAAACTTTGAAATCTATAGTTACTGTGGGGACCCAAGAAGATCCTTAGAAATGCCTCAAAATAAAGACCCTGTATTGTTGGGTTTTGGGGCACTAAAATTAATTCTTATGGCTCTCCAGCTAATTGCTAAAATTTATTTAACTGTGGTCTTTTTGTCAATCTTCCGTGCAACTTGGAGTTACAAATTGCATTTTGCAATTTCTTTTCTTCTTTGCTATTTTATAGTAAAGACCAATATCACTTAGATTGAGCTCCAGTTCTCCTATCTGTATGATGGGGCTTAGAGAAATCTACCTTCAAAGTCATTGTAAAAATTGCACAAGCTCAACCTGAAAATACAAAGGCATTTAACAATATTTTATCTCCATATTTTCTTATTTATAGAAATAAATCATTTTTGCTATTTTATAGTAAAGTCTAAAATATAACTATTTTCCTCTCCGTTTAATATTAGTAAATATCAGATGGGAGGCAGGGAGTCATTCTTATGAAAAACAGCCACTTACATTTTTTCAGCTTGTCTTTTTTTTCTCTCTCTCTCTCTCTTTTTTCTATAGAAGAACGTTATTTTGTTTGTATCCTTGGGAACTGTGCTCCTGCCTTCTGCACTCGGTTTACCCTTCTTTCAGAAGTGCCTTTGATCATGTACAGGAGGCTGGGCCTCTCTCTTGTTTCCCTGGGATAGGAAGTTGGTCACAATGAATGCAGACCTGCCTTTAGTTCAGCAGACCCTGATGGATGCCAGTCCACAGTGGGAGGCCGTGTGCTAACTGTGTGGAGCCAGGAGGGCATTCTGTACTAAGTTTAATGGAATCTCATGAGTTTGGGGCTTACTCTGGCACAGCGAGAGCACCTAAAAAAAGGAGTTTCCCTTAAAAAGACATGAGAATGCCTAGAAACTTAGATTTTTCACCTCACATATATGATCCCCTCTCCCCCCACAAAATAACCCAGGGCAACCAAAATGTTTCCACTTCATTTTCCCTCTGAAACTTAACTTTCTTAAATGTACCTAACAGAATAGATTATGAGCAAGCTTTCTTATAATATGTGTGTATACTTAAACTTGTGAAAGCTTTTTTAGAGTTTGAGTTACTGAGAGAATTAAATGGTTAAATACGTAGTTAGATCAATAAATACGAGTTTGCAATTCTCCCTAAATATCAATATTATACTGTGTCAAAGAATGCTATACGTGCCTTAAACATTTCTATCCCCACCAATACCACTTAGATGGTGCTCTAGTGACTTCCATTAGATACACTGCAGGTGTCAGACACTGTGACCTGTGGAGTAAAGGAACTCTCCATCCCTTGGCATTGGAAGGGAAAATGGGAAGTCCAAACCTACCCAAGCTGAGGTGCAGGGCGAGCCTCCCCTTCTGGAGTTCCAAGGTGATGTGGTCTCCACGCTGACCTTCTCCATGGAACAGGACCCCATCTCCTTGCATGCTCTTGAACTTCAGGGAGACGACATCTTTAAGAGTACTCATCAGCTTCTGATTGAACCTATACAGAAGTGAGCTTCGGCCATCAAAGTCAGCAACGTCTGATTCTGGGAAAAAAGGAGGAGCCGGAGAGAAAAATCAGTGCATATCCTCATGGCTGCTGTTCTTGTTTCCCATCTTAGTTCCTGTCCATTTCACAGAAATGTTCTTGAGATCCACCAGGTCTGGTCTCAACAGGAAGCATGTAGACTAGAACCAACCTAATTAGACTCAAGGGAATTATTCATTTACAAGTAATCACCACACACTGAGTCAAAGTGAACTGATCATCAATGTAGAAGTAACAACTCTCATTAGTGATATGTCAGCTTTTGCTGGAGGGGACAGGGTGAGAATACTGCAAGTACCTATGACTGGCTTACTATGTCAGATGGCTTAGAATAATCTGTCATGATTTGTCTTCCTGACAGTCAGGACCATTTGATCTCATCATCTCAGATACAACATCAGAGATGAAAAATAGATACATTGTTATGCCAACCCCACATAGTACTCTTTCCCTGGAAGTCTGTGTTGAGAAGGATTCTGAGGCTTCTACTGGGTTCAGGGAAAAAAAAAAACAGTAAAAGAAGGCTTGTTATTTGAACAAAGAGGACACGTGTACTGCATTCTTTCCATAACTACCTTATCTGTGCTGGTGATATTTATCATTTTAGAATTTTTATACAAAACATACAATTCATTATTGTCAAAGCAAAATAAAGATCAAGTAATAATGATTTAGATAAACTTACATAACAGGTGTGTACAAATATATCTGACAAATTTGTGCCTGAAAGCTAATGGAAATTCTATTTGGAATAACTTGTTCTAGGTTATTTTCATGTTTTCTCTATTTTTTCATTTCAAAAACTTTTATAATGAGCTTTTATTATACACAAAAAATGTAAGACTATTTAATTATAAATTGAAACTGATTCATTATATATCATGTTGTGTGGGTGGGATTGTGGTGATTATGTGGAGGGGGTGGGATTTTCTATTTAAAATTGAGTACCCAAGAAAACTCAATTTTTTAATTATTTACCATGCAATTAAAATACTCAGTGTGAGCATACACAATGGTAAATTATTTTTTAACCAAAGATCTAGAAACAGTCTTTGTAAATCTGAAGTTCTGAAAAAAAAAGAAAATGAAATAATACTTTTTAATAGTTTGAAAACCCAATTTGACCATTTATTTATATGTAATAAAGTAGTCCTAACCAAAAGGTTGCTGATGGAAACCTAGACTGTAAAAAGAAACTGTCCATATATAAAGAGACTTTCACAAATGTCCACCTACCTCAGCACCTCCCCTCCCCACCTCATCAATGCACCTATGGCTATTACCTCAACTGGGATTCCACCCAGACCAAAGTGGAGCCACAGGCCACCAGCTGCCACCAATCATGGAATAGTGAGGACTGTGGTATATGGTATAGATAAGATGACAGATTCTAAACTGTGATGGCCATAGCTTGTTAGCTGTGTCACCTTCGTCTAAGGTGATTTTATTATTTATAAGATGATGATAATCATATCCATTAGAAAAAACTGCTTTGAGAAGTAAATGTTCTAGGACTCACAAAGTGATGACACATCAGTGTGATCTCACTGTGCATGATACATTATTTGTGTTAAATCAATAATGCATAGGAGTGGTATTAGTAGTAATTGAAGTAACAGAGGTCCTTTAGTTCCTGTCTAGGCAAATTTATTGGCTGGCACCCTACCTTCTTATCCCAAATGATGCTTTTTCAATTTTGATTCAGAGGTGTCCAGAGATGCTGAAGTAGCTCCAAGTTTCTTGTCCTGTCATGTTTCAGCTTCTCACACTTTAGTAGAAATTAGTGTGTGCAGGGTGTGTACATTGTGTATTAGTATTCTCTTCTAATTGATTCCACTTTGCCACCTCACCAGATTGTGGAGTAGAATTTGGGTCCTAGGTAACCCCTTTAGTGTCCAGCAGTGAGCAGAAGGACTACATAGTGTCCCTCAGAGCTTCTAAAAGCAAATGCAGAGAGTAATGCTCACAGTAATACTTACTGAACTGTCTCAGTTCAAAGGGGGCAGATTCAAACAGGGTTTCTTAGAGGAAGTGAGTAGTATACTGGCCTTGCCTTTAACAATATGTAGGAGTTACCCAAGGGACAGGAGGGACCCAGTGTCTCCAGGAGAGTAACAGAGGCATGAGAAAGTTTGGTGCATCGCAGCACTGCAGGAGGCCAGCATAGTGAAGCAGGGGCAGAAAGATCTCTAATTCCCAGTGTGGCATTTCTTGCAGGCTGAGACACACAGCATGTGGTGTGTCTGAAGCAGTAATTCAATTCTGTTGTTATTCATGAATGCATTTGTCCCACCCCCATAGACAGATATCACATCTGAACTTTGGGTTTCCCTAGCACCGGGCACACCCTCTCTTTTTGCTATCACACAGCCCACAAATTGTGTGCGTCACATCACTCACTCACACCACCACTGTACCCTTCATCTCCCAGGCTGCACCAGCACTAAGCACAGTCTGGACATGGCAGGTGGGGCCCCGTGTGTGGTGAAGTAAAACCACATGGAAAAAATTTACCTTTGGTTCCCTGATAAACACATTAAACTAAGGAGAGGAACCCTCTACAGAGCAGCTCTACTACTCACCAAGGGTCTGACTGGGGATAAGTTTATGTCAAAACTATGAGCCTCACTTTGCATCATCGTAAAATGGTGCATAACAATGTATTCATTTAAACTTACAACTGATTATAAGAATGCAATGAGAGAACTTGGATTAATATTTATATAAATAGATATGTATTTTTAATGTAATATATAATAAATAACATATATTTATTATGTAATATATATTACATAATACATATGTAATACATAATAAATGTACATTTATTTATATAAACAATATAATAATATATTTATATAATAATATTATTGATATAATAACTATTTATTATATAAATATGTATATTTATACCTTTGACACTTTTTTGTCCAAGCAACCGTTATGGAGAAATTTATGTGAATATAAATATTCATTATGTTACTGCTATTTTTCCCATAACCCTTCATTTTACAATTTCACTCTGCAGCGTTCTTGGCCGCCAGGACCCCTCACGCAGGCCTGAGTTCTTGGGTCAAGTGTTGAATTCCAAACCTTTCCTTTCTCCAGTCCACTCGTTCAGTCGCCTCCCTCCCCATTCATCATCGTTACTACATTCTGCATTCCATTCCCTCCAATCTCTGACTGGCGACTTAACTGAGGATACAAATGTTGATGGAAAAGGGACACAGGTTCTCTCTAAGAAAACACATCTCCATGTTGTCATGAGACCTTGAGGGAGCCGAGCCAATCTGTAGAACCAGTCTAACAGAGCTGGGTTGCAATTCTGGTTTTGCTCCTTACTAACTGGGGCATGGGTGGGGGTGCATTGAGGCAACTTTCTTGATTTCTCTGAGCTCCAGTTCTCTTATTGTATGATGGGGCTTATAAGTCATTGTGAAAATTGCACAAGCTCAGACCTCAAAATACAAAGGTATTCAATAGCATGTTATCCCCACATTTACTTATTTTTAGAAAGAAATTACTCAGTAGTGAAGATTGCAAGCATGGCATAAACATGCTATCAAGAACTTGGGCCTATAATCCCAGAACTTTGGGAGGCCAAGGTGGGTGGATCACGAAGTCAAGAGATCGAGACCATCCTGGTCAACAAGGTGAAACCCTGTCTTTACTAAAAATACAAAAATTAGCTGGGCATGGTGGTGCGCACCTGTAGTCCCAGCTACTCGGGAGGCCAAGGAAGGAATGAACCCAGGAGGTGGAGGTTGCGGTGAGCCAAGATCGCGCCATTGCACTCCAGCCTGGGTAACAAGAGTGAAATTCTGTCTCAAAAAAAAAAAAAAAAAAAAAGAACTTGGTGTGAAAAGTCTGTTTGGGTTTGGGATTCGGTAGCCTCTACGTCACACTGGGCAGGGGTGCATTCACGCCCTCATCATCATCACCTGCTTTCTGTTTTATTCTAATAGTTACAGAACTGCCTCCCGGATTCCACTTTTGCTGCCCTCACCTGACACATTTTCTCATCTTCAAAAGCTCAAGGAACCTCACACCTCACCATTGCTAAACTACTTCAATGAATCTCCTTTGCCCTGAGAATGAATTTCAGTCTCCAGGGCCCCATGTGATCCTGCTCTGTTCACCTCCCCCAGTTCATCCTGGTTTCTTTCTTCTGCCCTCACACTGTTCCAGGCATGCTGTGATGTTAGTGTGTGTGCGTATGCAGGTATGTGTGGCGCTAGGGTCGTGTGTGTGGAGCCCACACCAGAAGCCCTGTCATTCTGGTTTTTTGTGCATGAACTCATTTAATCACATCAATTAACCTTTGAGAAAAATACTATTATGATTCCCACTCTACAAATAAGAAAAACAGGGCACACAGAGATGAAGAGGTGTATGTAGTGATCAAGTGCCAGGGCCAGGATTCAAACATACCCTGTAAAACACCCCTGCTGAGTGCACTGAGCTCTTTCCCAAGTGCTGCCCACTTGGACCACGATGCTCAGCTCATCAGTCAGTTCCCATCTGGCCCTTTTTCTAAGAGGTCCTCCATCCCTGTTAGTCATCCTCTATGCACCTTGCCATTCCCTTCATAATATACCTCACAATTGGATTTGATGATGTTCATCTGTTTTCTCAGTGGTTTATAGTTCAGTTTTTCAAAACATTAGTGCATCTCACGAGGACAAGGGCCAGATGTACACTGGTTTCCACATTAATTCACAGCCTCGCACTGGACCTGGAAGGGTATGCCATCCAGAACTACTTGTGAAATGAGCTGTGACCCATCGAGGTGCCTATGCCTGGTGTTATGCTGCCTAACTGTCCCCTGAGTTCCTGCCACATCATCTATTCCACCATTCAGAGCCAGCTGACCATCCACACTGCGAGAGTTAGTTTCTCCTGCTGGCCATGCTTAGCCACTGGGGCTGCGATCCCTGTGTCACTCACACATGCTCATTGGTACAGAGAGGATGTCCAGCCTTCAGTGAGCACAAAACT